ACTGATCGTGTGTGGTTAATATTGTCGTAAGATGTAGGATACTGACGATGATCTAGATTTTGATTCTCAAGCATCAGTAGTTGTTAAGATCCATGTTACAGTATGTCACAGTGCAATAGATATTGTACGTAAAATTAAAATGAAATATATTGTCTATAATACTGATCAGTATTATTGACCGTGTAGGATCATCTTATGTGCTGTGGTGCGCACGCTGATAGTACATAGTCTTAAGTCGTATCAGTCTTTTTGTTACACCTTTTATTTTTCTATAAAAACAAACTCGTTTCTACACGAGTCTCTATTATTGCCTGGATCGAGTCTCTACTATTACATGGATTGAGTCTCATATAACGCGGATTCTCCACATGATGAGAGTACTATGAAATATGTCAGAATGAATTCCGATCGGAAATATTCCGTTTTTCCTAAAACAAAAAAAAAAACGCAATAGAAATCTAGGAAATAATTAAATAATTCCGATCGGAATCCATTCCGATTTTTTCCATAATAGATGCCCAGTATTACACGTCTATCTACATTGCACTACAGGTAGATTTATTATGCGAGGGATTTTTAATATCCACCAAACATCGAATATAACTGTCATATAAATAGATATAAAAAAAAAACATATATATGTTATGTGATTATTATACATATGTACAAGGTCTGATAAAAAAATAAGCGAACTTTTTGAATTATTATACTTGGCAACGAAGCGTCCTAGTGATTTGCAGCACTACAATCACTATAATCTTCCGAGTAACTGGTTTTTTTTAAATTGTTTACATCTCGTTATTTCAGAGTTATTGCTTATTTGAGTGCAATGTGTTTTAGTGTTCGTGGCGATTTTCGCCTCGAACTGAATTTTTATTTTGAGAACTGATTTTAATTTTGGGAACAAGAAAAAGTCGCAGGGAGGAAGGTCTGGGAAGGCTGAGGTAGAACAGTCATCTGATTTTTGATACAAAACTTGACAAGGCTGAATGGGCAGATATCATAGTGAAGGAACCATGACTTGTCTCGCCACAACTGTGGTCTCTTTTTGCGAATTTTTTCGCGCAATATTTTCAAAACGCCATCGTAGTACTCGGTTGGTTGTTTGACTTTGAGGCAAAAATTGCAAAAATTCATTTCGACGCGAAAATCACCACGAACACTAAAACACGTTGCACTCAAATAGCAATAACTCTGAAACTAAACGAGATGTAAATAATTTTAAAAAAGTCAATTACTCGGAAGATTATAACAATTGTAGTGCTGTAAATCGTACGTCGTTAAAACGCCCCGTTGCCGAGTAATTAAAAAAATTCGTATTTTTTTATCAGACCTTGTATATTTAAGTTTGCTGGATATGGTACAATCACGTTATAAGCTAGGAAAGAGAGAGAGGCCAGGAGACGAATTATCCGCATTCGATTTTGTTTTCGTCGTTTTACCTTCCGTAGCGGCGAATAATTTTGTTCAATTTGCCCCGCGTGATGTTGATGTCGACACATGTTTTGCATGCACACACAACAGAATTATTCGAAATGCCGAGCATTTTGTATACTACGAAAAGTTCAATATCGCATAAATGTTTCAACGTTAATAAATCTGCCATTTCATATATTTATTTGTTCATTTTTTTTTACTAATTTTAAATTCAACACGTGTTTTTTTTATACAAGCGGCTTAGTTCAGCATGTTATTTCTAAAAATGGATTGAGCCACACTCGGCGAGTTTGTTCGGGATACCAAGGCAAGTGTTGCAAAACAAAGAATGCAACTTCCTACAAAGTCTGATATTGGCGACGTTATTCGATCATGCCTTGTCTGGACGTTCTCGATAAAATGAGACGATCGATCGGCCGTGAGAAATGAACTTTTGCTCCGTTCTTTATCGAGCCGAGATGGAAGTTCAAAAAATAACTAATGAACTTCAGCCAGAACGTTCAACTTCGTCACGTACGCGAGGTTGTTCAGAAAAACCGGCTCTAGCATACGTTAACGTACACTCACATACAAGTCATTTTATTTCTTCTTCTCCTCTTCCTTCTTTTGATCTTTTCTACTTTTATGGGTTTTCATCATATCGCAGTGTTTTTTTTCTCCTCTTCCCTTTCCTGTTCTTATCTCTGAAAATAGAAATAATAGATTTGTTGCTTGATTACTTTGCGTATCATATTATAGTTGCGCATATTAATGTAGACCTGCTTCATTGCATGTCTATCAAAATCTTGATACAATGATATGCAAAGATATATCGTAACATACACGGAAAGAATGAAAAATTTGATTAAATTATAAAAAGATCTAGCTAAATCTGAAAATAATTTTTGTTAAATAATTTAAATAATTATTGAATGTCCAAAATTAAAATGTTAAAAATTTCTGTGGTATCATTATCTGACCCTACGTAATTATAATTACTTTCATGGTCTAACAAAATTATTTTCACAAACCTATATCTACTTAAATTTTGAAGTACTTCAACAAAACCATTCTCTCTTTCCATATATAATATAACACATGGATCAATAAGTCCCGAGACTAACAATGAAAACAACATTTTTTTTGCAAAATTTTTTTTTATTCATCAACATAATCACCTTTTAGGGTGAACCTTTTTCATGCTCAATTTTTCATGAAGGATAGTAAATACACTTCCATATGATATCTGTGTCATCTCAGCAATCTCACGGAGCTTCACTTTACGATCTTTCATTACAATTTTTATCACTTCACTCACATTTTCCGGTGTCACAGCTTCCACAGGTCTACCCGAGCGTTCCGCGTCATTTGTGTCGGTACGACCACGTTTAAACTCGGCAAACCACCGACAAATCGTTGCTTTTGATGGACAAGAGTCCGGGTAACATTTTTCAATCCATTGTTTTGCTTGCACGGTGTTTTTACCCATTAAAAAACAATGTTTTATCAGAACACGAAACTCGGTTTTTTCCATTTTTTAAACAAACTACAAAACGACTTTACTCTAACCTCGATAACTCAGCTGTTTCTAGTCCGATCGACTTAAAATTTTGACACGTTTCAAGCAAAGGTTAGTACTCTAGAAAGACGTGGTTACTGGTTTACTACGAGCACCATCTCTGGGTTAGTCTCGGGACTTATTGATCCATATTATATATAGATGGACATTCTACAGTTTAGTTATCTTTTTCGTTTGATTCTGGTTTCAGCTGCGGCCCAATATTAGTTTTATTTATAAAATTTCATACGAAATTTCTTATAATTTATACGGAGTCGTAGAAATCGTATCCGAGAGTATCATTTATCTGTGATTATCTTATCGCTTAAGTTTCAAATCATCCAGCGATATAAAGACGTTCATTATATCACCTAATTGCCGATGTCGTGATCCATCTTTATTTCGTTCTCATTACTACGAATAGCAAGAAACGACCTTGGCACAAAAGATAAAGTTTATTTCCATGAATATTTACGCCAATATTCTTCGATCCATTATCTTCCAGAGACTAAATATAGAAGAATGACATACGTACTGCACTGGAATCCCACGAATGCTAAGCTTTAACTTAAATGTCAATAGCTGCTGTTAGTTGCTAGCGACAGACTACGAATTTTTAAAAAGATTTCTTAAATGCTATTTTAAATGTAACTGTTATTTGTCATTCGAAATTAATATTTATACTTCTTCTACATACATCGATTTAATACATCATATTTTAAAATCATCTAAGATCACTAGTGCAATAAACAAAATATGTATATAGATTTATAAGTAATAAATCATAGGTAATATTCAAGTCATCAAATTTCGCATTAATATATAAGAAAACTACAGCAACTTTTCAATATTTGTATATAAAATACATTTCTTTTTCTTAATTCTCATCATATTTATTTTACTAGTTGTTTCAGCAAGTAAATTGTTACTCCTTAGTGGATTCAAATTTCCATGACCACCATTCTGTTATCATAAATATGTTTTTATAATTTAATCAATAAAATAAATAAATAAAATATTTCATAAAAAATTATTTTGTAAAAAAAACGATTATTTTTTTACCATTCAATTCTGATCCTTACAAATAGACATTCACATGAAATCGAAAATGTATCGTTTCGATAAAAATAAAGGAATTTATTCATGTAAAACATATAAACGCGTGCATATTCATATCACCGCATACATATACATCACAGAGATAACATTTTATTATTTAATAAGCTTTTAATTGTAGTACTCTGCATTTTTTTGTACTCTGCATCTTTACGCTTTCTGCGCATAAACTTATATTTTGGACAAAGAAAGAAAACGGTAAAAAAATTTAGAAAGTATTAAGAATTAAAAGAAAAGTAAAGCTTATAATGATTAATACTTAGTAATTATTCTAGTACAGTAATGTTCAACCTTCTATAAAAATCATGTTTAAAGAGCTATTTTCAGGAATGTAAAATCTTGTGAATCGCATATTTATTTTATTTGCAATATAATATATGATTTTATATTTTCGACTGATATGGCAGGCGCCCAAAAATCACAGGCGGGTCACAGGTTGCACATCATTGTTCTAGTAAATAATCTAGTAATAATTTAAAAAATAAAGAAAGAATTATAATATGATTGCTATAAAATAGGGAACAAATATATTTTTCATTAGTGAACTCATAAAAAATGTGTTGTGGTTCATTTCATACCATATAAAAACATTAAATTATGTAAATTAAAATATCAGTTGCTTAATATTTATGATGCTTTATAACTATAAAATAAATTGAGGAATTGAAGATATAACGGTGTAAATTAAATCTTTTTTTATGTGTTACATCTCAGTATTATAATTAACCAAAGATAAAATTCATACATCTTGTTTTTTTTATGCTTCTACATACATTCCATTTATTGCAACTTTATGATATCATTATGCTTACATTTTCTTCAAAATCAAAACTGTTTATTATATTCAATTCCTCAATTTTTAATTATATATTTACTTCTGCATTTTATTTATCTGCATTTTGTACTTCCATTCTTATAATCACGTATAGCTGCATATAACTAAATAGGACTAGCAACTGTTGGCACAAAATACTATCTTAATTAATTAAGAATAAATTTAGAGTAAATTATATGTAACATAAATGCTGTAAATAATATTTTAAAACAGTATAATTAATAAATATGTTTTTTTAATAGTAAACAGTAACGCAAAGTTGTCATTGCAGTTGTCTAGCAATCCTATCTTATAATCCCACCTGAAAAGAAAAAATTTTTAAATGTTGATATATAATTAAATCAAAATGTATACTTTTAAAGAATATTAAATATATATTATTAAAATATCTTGTTTCTTAATTATCCATGATTTAGAATATAAATATTATGTGTACATATTTAGAATTATTTTTTAATTATTACATTTTCCAGATTATTTATAATAGAATAGCTATATATTACGTTATTCAAATTGTATATGATATAATCAATCTAGAATTAAATTGTATTTGCATTATTTGGCTGCTCACTAAACAATATACAATCTTTTGCACATTTAACATCATAATTTCTAGCATATAGTATTCATATTTTAAATCACAGATGTGTACATTTTTTATTATATATGCACCATTACGTTTTGAATATCTTCATGAGGACCTTTGCTTTTAGGTGGTAACTTTGGTAAAAGTGCATCCACATTTATTTCGACACGAGGATCTTTCTCTTTAATCTGCTTCATAGTTTCTTGACATACTTTGATTACTCTCTCAGCATTTAGACGACGATTATCGCTCCACAGTGGGCAACTACGTTTAAAGAAAATGTAAGATAATTTTCATTTAATTAAACAATAACATTAAACCGCCTAGTATTAAACTCACAGATTTGAACTTTCTGCTCCTTGACCTTGAAAGTGCTTATAATCAGTAACTGGTTTATCGCAAATGTAACACATTTTGGCGCCACAGAGACAAGTCATTTTGTTACAGCCTTCTTCTTTAAAGAACAATCGACTACAATGGTAGCATTTCCGTACCAAAGCTCGAGTCATCTTCTCTTCCAAATATAAACGTGCAGATTCTGACTTTTCGTTGCATTTCAGTGGTATGTGATTAAGTTCCTTACATAATCTAATATCAAAACAATTTATTAATGTAACAATTTTAGTAATGTACAATCACGCATTTATTTCTAACTATTTTGTTTAAAAAAATCAATACTGTAAAATGCAATATATGGTATTTCTCTCTCATGGAATATTTCTTCACAAATTCATATTAAAACATTCTAGATAAAATATAAGAAGTATTTTGTATATTTTAAACTATTCCAAATCATTTTAATTCAACCAGACCGAATTTTAATAATAATAAGATTCAATGACAACATCAAAATTGTAATAATAATAAAATTACACTTACCGGCAAGATTCTTTCATACATTCTGGATTAAGGCATTTAAAAATCTTATCTTCGACTGGTGGTATAGATGCAAAATGACAAAAGGGACAAGATACTAAACCATCAACTCCAGCAGCTATTACCTCTGCTGCTTGTCGTTTACAAAGCAGAATACTAAATTTAGTTGGCGGTAATACTCGCTGAAGTAAAGCTAATGGAAATTCAGAACCACACTGCAACAAGCAATCAACGCGCGATTTGCCATCTCCTAATATCACGTCTGTACTCCGTATAATACATAAATTGCAAAATATATGACCATCCTCACACGTGGAACACTTTGATGGCATACATTCGTCATCATAACAACATTGACATTCAAGCAATTCATTTTTTGCCTAAAAAAGAAATTAATGGAAAATAACAATGGATCTAAAATATAATTTTGGTTTCTATTTTAAAGCATTTCATACTTTTAGTTCATTAAATTCTTGCTCTTCTTTTACTTTCACTTCATCTAGATATTTTTTAAGCTCTGCTTTATGTTGTATAAAAGCACACTCTTGAAGAAACGGTATATCTTCTGTTATAGTCTTGTTACAATATCGTTTAGTTTTCATATCAGGGTTTAATGTCTCCAGAGCCTTCGCAGTTAAACTTAAATTATTATACTGACTATATGCCTTCACCAAAGTGTTTACCTGCAAAAAAATAACATACTTTACATATATCATCGTTGTATATTTAGCTGTACATTATTTAATACTGAGATATTAGATAGCTTAGCTATAATGCAGTTAATCGTTAAGCAAAAGATTTAAATTTATTAATCTGCTATTTCACACACACACACACACACACACACACACACACACACACACACACACACACACA